CCAATACACAACAACATACCGTATATTACGGTAGGGCACTGTAAATAAAACAGTAAGTTACTAGCGTCGACTGACAGTAAATGGCAGTTAATTCACAGTAAAATTGGTTCAAGTTTACGGTAACATACAGTAATCCATTTTATGGTAACATTGTGTAAAAAACATTTACGGTATTATACCGTAAAAAAACGGTAAATACCTGGCATCCTTGCTGCCAGTAAAATACCGCTAATTTACGGTGACATTTTTTAGAGTGTAGATTAACCTCCTCCTGTTTGGATGAACACGTAAAACTAGAGATTGAAACTATGAACTCATGTTTACAGAGAGTTAATCAAGAGAAAAGTCATTTTCTCATAGACTTCTGTATGTGTGACTCATTTTGCAAGTTTGAGACACTTCTGTGCAGCACACACAGCCTCTTCCTGCTGTATTGGTACTAGTATCCCTTTAATGTCGCTGCTGTTACTAATGGCATTGTCCCTTTTTAAACCGTACTAAACCCAACTAAAAAAACAATGTTTTAAGGTTAGAATTGGCTAATGTGGTGACCATCCAACTGCCATTTTGGGATCTAGCATGAACTACGTACCATATCTCAGAAAAGCTCTGGAAAGAGGCGAATGTATTATTCCTTGCCAATATAAAATATATATATACAACCCATCTCCTCCATTAGGAATATATCTGGATCCCTTGTGACCATCGGCAGCTTGTGGCCATTTACCCACCTTGAACCACGACATCACCGTGGGACTCATTCCTCTGTGAAGTGATGGAAACTGCGAGCTGATCTCTGGAAAACCTCTTTTTCTTCCTCAGATGCGTAATAGGATTGAGCATAGCAACGAGGAAGGCCCGACAGTCTGGTCCCCCCAACACACACCCACAAAAGGGACAACTGGAACATCGTGTTGCTCCGTGAGGAGGCGGTTCAGTTTGATCTTTTATTGGAGAATCGCACCCTCACTTCTGCTGGAAAAGGTGACACAGACGCCGACTGGCCAGCAGCCATCATTCCCTTCATGTGTGTATTTGTGTGTTTGTAAATGTGACGTGTTGTAAATATGCAGCCACTACTTAATATCAGTATTAGTTTTCATGATTGTGAATTGTGATTGTGAACATCAATTTTCTGAAAAAGAACAATCCAGAGTTGAACAATGGGAAGTGTTTTCAGGAACTTCAGTTACTGATGGTTCTTTCTGTTGTCTTTCTACGACCTTTGCAACAGACGCAGCAACAAACGGAATAACCCCTAAAAAGTTCTGCATTACGACAGACAGGCCAATCGGAGCCTTCGTCCCATCAGCTGGAAGTACACAGACGATTGATGCCTGAGAGCAGAACATGTCCTTGTGTAGCACTATGCAAAGAAACTATATTGCTAAATGAAAAGAAATTGAAGTTGAAGAATGAACCAGTTGTGTAGGATAATAACTGAGGCACGTCACCCCTGCAGCACTGATCTCACACAGACTGTGGATCCCAGTTTAAGACCAAATCAAAGTGGGTACATTTTACTCCTAAGTAAGTACCGGCACCTTTTCTGCTCTTAAGCGTGCGGGGTGTGTGACACACACACACACACACACACACACACACACACACACACACACACACACTAGGCTGACGTCCGGATTTTCAATGCCCTTTTTCCATTTCAAGCACTGGACCAAATCATGTGTTTTTGTTGCAACAACAACAGAAGTACAAAGTTGCACAAATGGAGCAAGTAAAGTACAACCAGTTCATGAGTACAGTATTGGACCGAATGCACCTTCCACCTTAGGGGGGATATCAGGAGTTGGGGTCGCAGCAATGACTGGAGGTCAACTAAATACCCTCATAAGTATCGTGGAATGAACCCTCGCGTGCTGTGTGTCTTCCCTGCAAATGACGCAGTAACCGTCTCCGTTTATGATCGTCCCCGCTTTGGTTTGATCTATTGAGCCCCCCCCCCCCTCACCGCATGGCCAATTTCACAACACATGCACGAGTTCGTTTGTTTTTCTCAACGTCAGCGGCCACAGAGCAGACCAGTGCGCACACGTGAGAACGTGTGGGTCCGCGTGCATTCATCATGCATCGGGAGACAGCCCGGTGACAGGGAGAGATTCTTTTAAAGAGGAGGCATGGGGGAGCCTGGGGGGGGGCGTGGGGGTCGGAGGGGGGGGTGTATTTCCTTACTACATTACCCAACAGCTCCGGCTAAGTGCGCAGCAGTTGGAACAGGGAGGAGGGCGGTTACGCAACAGCTGTGTTGTCTTCTTCTTTCTCATGAAAAGGCGCGGCGCGCTTACGGGAACGAGGCGGAGGCGAGCCAATCAGCGCTCAGCGGGGGGGGCGGGGGGGCGAGCGCGAGGCGTCTCATTTCATTAACGCCCGCAGAGGGTGAGTGGAGAAGGCGCGTGAGAGAAAGGAACCAAGGACACAATTGACTCATCGCCGCTCATCTGCGTGTCTTTTCTCCTCAAAGCTGAGCATAAGACGGCTTTTGTGTCCCCTGCGATGACTCAGTATTTGACCACAGTCAAATGAACTTTGGAGGGGGGCCGCGGGGGGAGTGTGGGGAGGGTGGGGAGGGCGATCACCCAGCTTTCGATTTGACTCAACGAGAGAGTTTGCATGTTAAGTTCCTCCAGAGGGAAAACAAGAGACGCTCGAGGACCAGTCAGACCACAGTTGGCCCCCAACGTTACGATACAAGTGCCTCAGATGAATACTTATAGATTCATAGTTGGATGGTTTTCGCTTCATTAGCAAGAGTTAGGTGAGAAGATGGATCCAAATATGAAAGGTGAACTAGAAACAAGGTGGATCACCTTTAAGTTGACATTCTGTACACATGGCATCCATTGTAGTCTGTCCATCCCGGGAGTGGGATCCCTCCTCTGACGTTCTCCCTAAAGGTTTCTTCCCTTTTTTCCCTCTTGGAAGGGTTTTTTCATTGTTTGGGGAGTTTTTCCTGTGCCGATGGTGGGTTTCGGGACAGAGGATGTCGTATGTGTACAGACTGTAAAGCCCTCTGAGGAAAATTTGTAATTTGCGATTTTGGGCTATACAAAATAAAATGAAATGAATTGAATTGAATCGAGGAGTCGCTGCGTAGTGCGGCGCCAAACTTTGTGCTACAAAAAATGCAAATAGTTGTTGCACTGTTGTTTTACGCCCAGATTAACCAAAGGGAGCTTTTTGAGTGCCAGTAGGCAGATTTGACCTTTTAGGCCAATGGTGAACTCAACAAACTGTTGTTTATACATCCAGCAGTTACACATCTGCACTTTTAATAATTTGGCAACGTGATTCTCCAAAACTTGTTCGTAAAAATGTATACGAAAATCTTGAACATACAAATTCGTAACAATACATCTGAACTGGCGGTGGTTAACCACGCCCCTTGAGTGAACAACATGGCGGACTATGTCGGATTCTTGATTTTACATCGTTAGACTTCACAAAGTGTGTTTACGGGGTGCAGGTCCCCATTCACTTTAAATAGGGTGACGTCATCAGTTGCCAGTCCGTATTTATTTAGTATGTATCACTACGAATTTCTGTGTTCAAGATCATTGCGAGGAAGAAAAACCAAAGAGAGATTCTATGTAATTAGTACATAGAGATTCTAAGAATGTACATATATATATATATCTCAGTGTGAGTGACATGCGGTTCTCGGAATGAGAGGGGAAATGAATGGCGGTGTCATTCGCGGAAACTACCTGTGGTCTCTGATGCGCTGTAATCTCTTCAGGGAAATTGCATGTTGTCTAAGTAGTTGCAGAAGAAAGCCAACAGCACATCAGAAAGAGTATTGGCGACTGAAACCTCTCTTTGAATTCATGCTACGGAGGACATTTTATTTATTTTCTGATATAAAAATACATTGAGCAAGTTGGATTGAGCCCATGCAGGTTGTTGATTTGGTACAAGTATGACTTGTCCACAGCATTTCCAATCATGTCACACCTGGTATACACACTGTGTGCACCCAAAGGTCCACAAACGGGGGCCCGATCGTTGTTTTTTGCTGTAGGTTGGTTGCCTGAAGGAAGATTGGCGGGAGTCCCCCTGGAGCGACGCCACTGATTAAAGCTTCCGCTCTCCGCTGTTAATGTCATGAGCATCTGCTGCTTGTGAGTGAGGTGAAACCAGGTGGCAACCTGCCGTTTGGCCCAGTGGACTGTGTCCTCTGGGTGCAAAAAGAAGTTCATTGACGATAAGTGTGTGATAAAATGACCCTACCTGATTTACTACCTCATTAAACGCTATAAAGAAGATTCTATGGTCTCAATCTCTGCTGCTATATTCTTTTTGAGTACAGCATGATGTTCATTTAGAAAATGTCCTTTTAGAGTCAAATAGACCATAAAGCTGTCAGAGTCATGTGGGGGTCTCAGAAAAGTTGTGTTTGAGTAGAAAGTATCATCCGACGAAAACGACTATCTACAAAACTTCCCCATTGCTTCTAACAGCAGTTTAATGAAGATGAAATCCTGACATGTTGAACGGGGTTCATGTTGAATGTGATGGTGCTCCAGTTTTCGGTCAGGTTCAGGTCACTCATGAGGTTGATGCTTTTAGGTCAACCATGTCAGATCACCCTGCCCAGAACTCCAATTCAATAAGAGCATGTTGAGTTTGATGAGTTATTGGTAAAGGTGGCCGTGTTTGTTTTTAGGTAGTAGATTGTTGACCTTTTGGAATTTTCTGTCACTAAAAAAAGTCTTCTAGCGGCACGCTTATCTTTATCTTGTCTTTACAAAAAGGTATCAGGAAACAGGAAATCTGCCGAGAAACACATATAACAACCTGACCTAGTCTGTCTTAAATTGTATGTGCTGCTTTTCTTTGAACTTCAATCCTGACACATTTCTTTTCTTGTTACTTTGCACTTTGATCTGACGGGTTTTGCATCACCGATGGTTTATAACGCAACTACGTGTAGAGGTCACAACTTACACACAGTGTTAGATGAAGCAACACAAGGGAGTCAGGGGTCATTGTTTAAAAAAATATTTATTGAAATTGTATAAAAATAGTTTCTAACACAACTGGCAATTCTAATTTGACTGAAAAAAAAAAAAAAAAAAGAAAGCCAGGCAGCAGCCATGTAACCAGAGTTTTTCTCATTCACACACACACACACACACTCTGAACAAACCCGCTCCCAAAGCAGACAACAGTAACAGTTACTGTCAGTAGACTCGTCGCATCGACACATTGTGATGGAAGTACTTTTGGGGACTATTTACACGTTATTTACATGACACACACAAACAAACACACGCATCTGCTCTTCAATAGGAAATAAAATCCTCAAGCCATAAATAAATTTGGCCGGTGGGGGGGGCGTTTAAATAATTGTTTGGGCCCTTCGGTGACTGGAATGAGACGCGCGCCAGCAGCCGCCCCCCCCAAAAATTCTCTTTAAATAAATAAATATATTCTGCGTCGTCGATGTGTGTGAAAAAAAGCAGCTGCGATAATAAATATCTTTATTTACAATTCTCGTGCCCAACGGACTTTTAAGACCTGTGTGAGGCACTGGCTGAACATCGAACACAAACAGCGATGAGCAGAGGTTTGCATTGTGGTGTGCATTCAGCGCCGGTGTGACCTCACGCGCGCTCGTGTGCGTGCACGGGAGGGTCGGGCACGCTGTAGTAAAAGGGGGCGAGTCCAGTGTTTTCTTTTTGTTTCCCCCCCCCCCCCACCCCCCGTCTTGTTTGCACGAGTGGCTCCCGGAGCTGTGAGGTTTCCTGGTTGCTAGTGAAGTAGTGATAGCGGTGCTTGTGGATGACATAGGCTTTACTGATCTAGGCCCCATGAGAGGAAGAAAGTAGGGAAAATAAAAAAAATATAAAGCCTAGTACAGTGAGGAGCTTCAACTTTCTCTTGGCAAAAAAAAAACAGAACAAAAACTGCCGTTCTACTCTCACAAATTCAAGTATTTTCAGGGTCCCCGCGACAACCTCGCAGAAGGCACTTGAAAGGTGTACGCGTGCGCGCCGCCCGCTTGCCGTCTGGGCACAGCGGCGAGCGCCAGCACTGCGTTTTTTGCTCGACGCAAGCCTCCCAAAAGCGTTGCGGAGCGCTCCCTCCTACAGGCCGGGGCGGTGAGAGAGGGTCCGGGGCGGCGGTCTCACGACCTCGGTTTCCTTCAGCCGCCCTCCGTCTTGCCCTCTCTGCTTTGGGTCCGTTACACAAGTCTTTCTCTGTAATGGTCTCTTCTAGCGTCACGGCGCGGTCCCGTTTTCAGAGGCGAACCCTCACCGGGCCGCGGCCACCTGGGCGGACGCGAATGCCGCCGTCTCGTGGCCGATGGTGTGCAGCCTGATCTCCGCCGCCGTCTTCTCCGTCTGCAGCAGGGACGGTACCGAGGGGGCGGCCGCGCTCTGCATCCACGAGTGGTTGACGATGTCCTCGAAAGACGGGCGGTCCGCCGGCCGCAGGGAGAGGCACCACTTGATCAGCTGCTGACATTCTGGAGGAGCGGGAGGGGAAACAATAAGTACGGAAGCGCGGAATGGAGCGCGGCCGTAAAAGCAGCGGGCTGCCGCGCAAATTCACCTGTGGAGACTCTCCTCCGGAAGAGGACCTGCCCTCGGGTGATCTCCTCGTCGTGTTCGAACGGAATGTCCCCACACACCATGTCGTACAGCAGGACGCCCAGGGACCAGACGGTGGCGGAGCGGCCGTGGTAGCGGTGGTATTTGATCCACTCTGGTGGGCTGTACACTCTCGTGCCTGTCAGGTGGGGGAGGAAATAAAAACACATTTTTAGTAACGTGTTTATTGTGTTGCGGAGTGAAAACAAAAAAAGGGGCAGGGCGCGAAAGGCTTCAACGGTAAACAAAACAGTTTACTGCCGGCGTGCTGCGCGCGTGCGCGTGGGAGGGGCGACATGTGACTTTGTTTACAAACTTTGAGTTGTAAAAAATGCAGCTTCCCTCCTACAGGGGGAGCCAGAGCAGAAGCTACGCTGCCGAGGCGATATTAATAGTCCTGAGGGAAGGAGAGGGGGGGATCGGTGGGGGGGGGGGAACTGATGACACAACCTAGGAATTGCTGCCTGACTAAACCACGGCAAAGAAAATGAAGCACCGACGTTACTAAAAGAAAAAAATCCCCATCAGCACTCTTCTTCTTTCCGCGCGGTGACTCACCGTCGAAGTCCGTGTAGATGGTGTCCTTCAGCAGGGCCCCGGAGCCGAAGTCGATGAGCTTCACCTCGCCGCTGCGCAGGTCGATCAGGATGTTCTCGTCCTTGATGTCGCGGTGCACCACCCCGCAGCCGTGGCAGTGGCGCACGGCCTCCAGCACCTGGCGGAAGAAGCTGTGCGCCAGCTCCTCCGGCAGCGCGCCCTTCTCCGTGATGAAGTCGAACAGGTCCTTGACGTTCTCGGGCCGCTCCATGACGATGATGAAGCTGTCCGGCCGCTCGTACCAGTCCAGCATCTTGATGACGCCGCGGAAGCCCGTGCAGACCTTCTTCAGCAGCACGATCTCCATCGGGACCCGGTATCCGTTAGGCTGCAGAGAGGAGCGACGCGCTGTTAGCGTTTACTACGTGCGCGCAAAACCCGCCCGCTGCGCAGTGTGCCGGTCGATGCGAACGCGGTCGTAAATGGGTTTTCTTACCAGCTCTCCCCAGTCGGAGACTCTGTCCTTGGCGACGTGTTTGACAGCAACCTAGCGGGGCGGAGAAGACGCGGCGTCAGGCGGCACGTTTCACAAATACCAAACATATCGCACATAAAAAAAAGGGAAAACACACGGATGCGTACTGACCGGAGCTCCGTCCGCGGTCCGCGTGCCGGAGTACACGGTGCCGAAGCCGCCGCTTCCCAGCACCGCGCCGACCTGGTAGCTCTTCTCGAACGGCTCCCTCTCCTTCCCTGTTAGGAAACACGCGCAGACACGGCCGGTCAACACCGAGCTAAACCCGAGACGTGCCGGGACAACTGCAGCGCCAAACGAGGCGCCGTCCTTGAGAAGGAGCCGCGTTGTCACGCGAGGACGTCCTCGCGTGACAACGCGGCGGACAGGAGACAAGAAGGGCGTCTAACCTTGGTGGACTTGGTGCTGGATTTTCGCCGGCATGTCTACGGCAGAGATGTGGGCCAGAGAATTGAGTTTGGACAGCAGCATTTCTCACAGGAGATCCAGCACACGCGCGCGCTCTTCTTCTTCTTCTTCGCCTCGTGCGTTATTCCGGTTGTAGGACGCTCCCGTCTCCCGCCTTCAGCTTAAGCTCCACGTTGCACGGATCAGTACCGCGGCGAGGATCCTTTCATCCGGATAAAAGCAAAAGCCACTCCGGGGAATGTAGCCCCCCCAAAAAAAGCTCGTCCCGCCGTGTGGATAACGGAGTTCTCGTGGGAGAGAAAACAAAAACAACGCAAAGCACAGCTGGTGTCCGTAATGTTTTGTAAACAGTAACGCGGAGAAGACGGCGCGTCGAGCTAATGCCTCCGTCAGTAAAACCGGCTCTTGGAAGAGGGAGAATGGGGGAGGACGATTATATCGCAGTAGTAAGAGGGCGTCACCACCCTCCTCCCACCCAACCCCCCCACCACATGCGTCACCGGCTCTTTCCGCTCCCCTGCGCCAATAGGACTGCGCGGTGCGTCAATATCACAACGAAAATAGAGGCATGACGGGCTGGGCCAGACACAGACGTGGCGGGAATAAAAAAAAAAACGCGCTAAAAGAAAAATAGAGGGCTGTAGTAATAATGAATTCCACTTGGAGGGAAAATGCAAATGTAAACCCGGTGGCCCCCAGTCTCGTTTTTCCGCGGGAAAAACTGGCAGTTAATGTAAAGTAAAGTAGAAACTGGTTAAATGCCTTTTAAAGTAACCATATTTCATATGTATTTTGTTGTGTCTGCAAAAACAACAACAACAAAAAAGACGGGTGCTTTTAGTTGCACTTAAAGCGTTTATTCGGCTTGGTGAAAACATTTTTGCGCAAAGAGTGGAGTTCATCAAGTGCGTCCCCGCTATTCCGCCCCCCTGCCGTGTACCTGATTATTTGCACATTGAACACACAGGTTTACTGGCCGAAGTGAAGTCTGACACGATGACTCTTTATTTGAGTTGCTTCTCCACTGGCTGCGCATCAAAGCGCGCCGGGCGGAACGGGCGCATTCCTCTCATTCTTTCAAATTGGGTGGCCGCGTTTGCAGGCGCTCACAGGATGTGGGAAAACAGAGATAAAAAGACTTCCATTTACTCCCCCCTCCCCCTCTCTCTCTTGCTCTCTCTCTCTCTCCCCGCTCCCCCCTCCGCCCTTCTTTTCCCGCGCATGTTATTGTCTGAATGGAATTCCTCCCCCTCCCCCTCAATCAAGTTAAGTTTTCCTTAGAATTTCGTGGTAAACTATCATAATGCTGATATTGCATGTCCCAGTAGTCCCAGTCCCATAATGGGGCACTGGAGGAAAAGATATTCTTAAGGAAGACAAATGTTTGTTAATTATCGTTCAATTATTTTGATGGAACTTTTAAACACTTTTTAAAGTAGCAAAGATTAATTCTGTCCATCAATACATTTTTTAAAAATCCTTTTGCACGGCAACCGTGCTGCATGGGCCTGCACCAAGATATTTTGAAGACAAAAACAAATAAATAATATAAGCTGCCAAGTGGCCTACTTTAAAGACGAAAGTGCGTGCACCATTTCCTAAACTGTTTGCAGGTCACCGTGGCAGACTGGAATGCAAGTGATACCATCGGAGCGTTCGTACTTTGCCCCAGGGCAAATTCCTGCAAGGTCTCCTCAAATCAAAAAGTTACCACGCAAATTCACCCTCAACCACGTAACTCCAGTGTCAACCAATTCCAGTTTAAAACCGCTAATTCAAACACAACTTATCTTCTGTACTCAGTGCGTGCTTGCGTGCACAAGTTGGGTGGGCTAGTTCAACTATTTTTGATGCTCTCTTGTTTCACTTTCACGTTGCTGAATTCACAGCTTAATACTGTGAAACTTGCAGCAGTAAAACCTTAGTAGTAGCAGTAGTGTTTTTAGAGTGTCGTGTGAAGAGGTGCAGAGAGGAGTGGCTTCATGCTCAGTCAAGGGGGGGGGGGTCGGAGGAGAAGCCTGTGAGAACGGAGGGGCCCAAGGCAACGAGTGCGCCTCATGAAATGCCACCGGTGAGCGCATCTCGGCGCGGCTGCAGATAGCCCTGCCTGCATGATCAGCAGGGCTCAAATGACGGGCGTCTGACCCCATCTGTCAGGAGGACAGATTAGTAGTTGCACCGCTTGCTTTTAGGGGCACCTGCTCAGTCCAATCTCTGTAAATCTTACTGTAAAGAAGGACGTCACAGATTTGTATGTCAGCGGTCAACAGAAATATCCCCGCTGCAACCCCCATATCTTTTACAGTCATTTAGGTTTTTGCAACGTTTGTGTTGACTTGTCGGTCCGGCACTGCACGCTGAAACTTGAGAAAGCCGCAATGGGAAAATAGCTCCCTGGCAAAAGGTTTTGCTTATGTAATCCTATGAATTGCTTCCTCTTTCTCGATAAATAGAAACTGTGCCCGCAGAAAGCTTTCGCAACACCAAATTATACTGCTCCACGTTGAACGTCATACAACAATCCAGTGTTGTTATATATATAGTCTCAAGTCTTTGTACCCAAGTCCACAGTCAAGTCCCAGGTCACTACGGACAAGAACTGAGTCACGAGTCGAGTCACAAGTCACGACTGACAAGTTCTATGTCAGTACTAGTAGGACGTAATACCTCTCTCTAAATAAAGTTGACGGTCTAATACATAATGACTTTGAAGGACGTTATCCAATGTAAGCATGCTGCTTACGTTCCTTTTTGTGCAACGGTGTGTTTTTTATTGGGGGGAAGCTTCCCATAAACTGTTATCTATGACTCTTCAGTATCCTCAAGCACTCAACCTCCATCCTTCCTCACAAACTTATAACCCTTCCGATGTAACACATTAACCAGCTTAATTACACAGCGTTTTCTAAGGAGGTGATTCACTTCCCCCCGCATGGTCTCACGGATTCTGCCTCGGACTTACGCTGCCTTTCTCCTTCAAAGTTTTCTGTCTTGGTAAAAGGGTCATCCATACATGTCCACACTTGCTCATCCATCAATCACGATGGCCAGCCAATCACCTCTTCGACTATCCTCGGATCTCAGCTCCTGCCGCTCTGTAAGTGGCCGGAAAATGAATCATGGGCTTGCACAGGGGTGTCTGAGTGGATACAAGATGGCCTCTGTGGTCACACTCCTGGAGATGTGCATGTCATGTACAGACATAGATATTCACACAGCATCCTGCTCTCATGTGATAACATATGCATACTAATAAGACTCGCAATTATCACAAATAACTGCTTTTAATTTTACTGAAAAGCACACAGACCTTTTTTAAAAAATGTAGTTAATGGCATTTCTCTCAAATTTCCCGTAATAGTTTTGTCAGTTTATAGCCGGCAATTTTAAAACGTCAATTGCTGGTGGGCAAATATTCCCAACGTGAGAAAGATCACTGTATTCACAGTATAATTGCTTGACACTTTGTGAGATTACAATGTGGAACAGCTTTTTAACTGTAATGATGGTGATGCAGATACATTACGTTCCCTCCATAAACACAAAAATGTTTTTTGCATCGTTTTGTAGCAGTAACTCATATATGGATTGGAATGGTTACGCACGTGTAACAGGTTTTAAAAGGAATGTAATTGAGAAAATAGGCCACATTCTTCAAGCTTTTTACACTTGTGAAAAGACCATTTCACAACATAAACGTGACCACAAGCCATCGTCTTCTGAAGGGTGAAATCTGCATATAATTCATTGCTGCGCTCCTTGCTGACAGCCCGTCATCTTGGCTGTGTGCAGAGCTAAGCGGTCTGCAGGAAGCTGAGTTTAATCACCTGCGCCATGCAGCGTGGGCCTTGATTGACAAAGATTACCCCCCCCCACTTAAGACCGGCCAGCCACGAATAAACACAAACTCTGATACATTAATCTACCATGCCTCCAAATGAGCTGCTGAGGCTTTGAAAGCCTTCCCAAATAAGGAAAGCATAAGCATGCGTGAAAGTTTAGAAACAGTTTTAGAGGTGGTCTCAGGAAGAAGGAATGGCTGCATGGTCGGTTACCTCCAGTGTGGTCTGACCTCTCCCCAGGTAGCCGCTGGCCCCCCCACCCTTCATTCCAGTCCTCGTGCCCTGAGGGGTCTCGACTGGCGGGGCCATGAGAAAACCCTCCAGTGGACATCAAAGGCAGGCCTATGTGGGAAAGCCCCACATAGGGCCCTCAGAGTGCCCTAAAGGTCACCACGGGTCAACCTTCATGTCAGCAAAGGTCCAGCTCAGGGGTCAAGGGTTACTGGCATACCTGTCCTTCGCCACACAGACCGTTCTTCCAGGAAATGATCCCCACTTGTCTCAATTAGGAGTTCAGCTATACCAAAGGGCCTATGTACGGCTTGTCTATAGTTGTTATGGATGAGGATGTAATCTGTGTGTAGAAAGACCTGGATGCTTTTCATGCTGCCCGTGGTTACAACGACAGGACTGTTGTCAGCTTTGGACCTGTCCTTATGGGGGTTGAGACCACAGGAAATATCTATTCCGAGTTTACCCTGTTGATAATGACACTGTTGACAGGAGTGATTAACACGATATCCTATAAGTTAGTGAACCTAGTGATTATGTTCATAGATAATAAGCTTTAAGTAGGGTTTGGAATGTTGGATATATTGGTTATTGTTGTGCTGTAGAGCCCTCTCCCTAACACTCCACCAAATAGCAGGGCTCCAATCACAATTTAGAATGTAGGACAACAGCGACTGTGCCTGGCTTTATATAGGTAATATGGACATTTTTTCATGTAACATCTAATGTTAATGCACCACAATACAATGGCTGGCTAGCTACTGTTGAACAATAACCAGTGGTTCCCAAACTGGGGGTCGCAATGTGTTCGAACCACCCCCCCCTTCCTGAGCGGCTCGGGTTACAAGCGGGAAATGTCCCTATATCCTCAAAGAGGGCCCTGACTGACAAGGTTTGGGAATCACTGCTATATATGTTACTCCTTTAGTTCCACACCCTCCAAATGGTTTATTAAGAAGAGGATGTTTGGTTTCTGCCGCTTTTTAGCATAAATCATGGATATTTGAGACCATTTCACAAGAAATTTAATTTAAAAGATGAACTGAGATCTCAAGATGTTTTGGGAATCCCATTACATTGGATCAGGGCACAAGACTGGAAAAGTTTGTGGATGGGTCAGCCCATCTTATCTATCAAAATATATATACCCTTTCTCCACTACATGTACAACATGAAATATACCCAGTAATATTTGTAAATTAAGATAGCTGCGCAAAATGTATGCTTTTCCTGCACGTTTTATCAAAAAATTATAAAATTGTGTGAAGATTTGTGGGGCTTTTGAGTTGGTCATTCCTCAACACACTGATTGGTGTTTACCCCAAAAACTAGGTTCATAGGTGCATCTCA